GCTGTGCTTGATAAGAAAGAACGTTCCAGTAAAGGAAAAGCACGTGATGAACAGAAAGAGCTGCGTAGAGAAAAGAAACAGGGTCGGAAAAGGGTAAATATTCTGATGTTTCTATTATTTAATTATCGCGTACGATCATCACATATACATACATAGCCAACCCATACAGTACTGAAAGTTTTCAGAAATATCTTAGAAATATTTCAACTGAAAAGTGAAATATTTAATAAAAAATGCGAAATATGTGTACAGCATTTCTGAAACAACTCTGAAATAGCAAAATGTCCGCGATTCTTACATGAAACCTTGAAAGGTTAATGAAATGTCATAGAAAGAATCTGCAATCTTTTTGAAATATTATCAAAGAGGTTTTAGTCATTACTAATACTACAAAAATATTTAAATACGATAAAGAAAGCCAAGATCGATCAAATTTTGTATATTACAAATAATACATTATATATTCTTTTATTGAATTAATTTATTCTAGATATAATTGCGAGCCAATAACATTCGGTTTCAACATAATAATTATTCTGAAACGCTAATAATCCCTCCTAAATTAAATTAGAAAAAAAGAAAGAAATTTATTGCGAAAAATATTCCTCAGCCAGGATTCGAACCTGGGACCTCTTCCAACTTTCCGGGAAGAGTGTCTTAGCCAACTCAATCACTTCAGAAATATTCTTCGCAATAACTGATATGTATAGAGAGAACGCGTTGATATTTAAATATATACTTGATTGATACTTAAATAATATTTAAATTTATTATGTCGACATAATAAATTTGAATATTGTTTGAGTATCAATTAAACATATATTTGTCATTTTATTTTAATTGTTAACCGTTGTAATAATTAGAATGTTGTAATGAATTTGTTTCGCACAATCTGCGGATTTTTTTATTTTAATTATTTTTTGATGTCACATCTTTTATGGCTATATGGATTTTCATCTGTTATTCGTTGCTATTGGACCTGTCAATCTTTGTCAATAGAATAAGAAGATTGAGTCGCCACTCTTCTGTCTCGCCATGAAGAAGTGAGAGATTTATAACAAATGTTTAGACATATTGATGATGGCTCGAAGACAAGTCGAAATTATGCGTAATTAATTATATATTTTTTCGATAATAAACGATTTTTATTTTCGCATTAATAACCGCGCATATAACTCTCATTAGTTCTTTATTTATTTGTATATTTTGATATATTTAAGTATCATTTCTGAAATACTTAAAATTTATTGAGAATTTTGTGATCTGTTCATAGATTACAAAACTTATTGAAATAAATTTAAGGAGGTACGAAAAATCAAGATGCTTCGATCTATCTAAAAATTACACAGAATATTATTTACGAAACTAATACTATGTTACAATTTCAAACCGAGCTAATGTGACCGTCTAATTTTTAAGAAAGAAAGAGCTAAAGTTAGAATTTTATGCAAATGGTGTCTTATAGCAAATGAATTGAATGCATTACATATATTACATAATTACTTACTTTTAAAATACTTTAATCTACATAAAAAAACATATAAATAGTTAGAACAAACCTTGTTTTACATCCTTGTAAGAATTTTAACTGTAGTATTCATCGTGTAATTTATTTGTATACAAACAAAAAACTGACAAGTAGAAAGCATGCTTATTTGAGCATCTAAAGAAATATACGTAGAAAACTTGGCAATGCTGTTAACTTCCGACGTTAAGTTAGAGTACGGCTAGTTTCATCTTATGACACATGCGTGATTGAATACATGTTTCTTGTTTATAACTTTTTGTTTTTAATTTAAGAAAGCTATAGCAACTATTACTGCAAAAAATGCAGTAAAATATGATATTTGAAAATATATACTAAAATATATGAAAAAAACGATACTAATATATAAATGTACATGTATTAATATACAAATAACGTCATCTACTAAATTTATTCAATATATAACTAGGAACGTAATCCTCTTCGTAAATAAATAAAATGATTTATAAAAAGATTATTTTTTTAAATTTAGTATAACTATTTAGTATAAAATATTTAGTATAAATATTTTTAATATAAAATATTTATTTTATTTAATACAACACTAATCTTACATTAAGTATTAAAATTTTTATTTAACATTATAATAAAAAAATATGCAATGTTTTTTTTTTAAAAGATATTGATAATATAAATATGTATTGATAATGTTAATTTAATATACTTATAATGTTTAAAATATTGAAACGTAACTCTTATCACATAATTCGAATCACATAATTCGTGATATTAAAATTAAACCATTCTTTTAGTATAAAATAATCATCAATTAGTTATGAATTAATTATGAATTTGTTATGAATTAGTTATGAATTTGCCTTTATAACGAAGCATTTTCATACAAAATAACTGTAAAACACGTATATGAAAATAATATTTCTCAATTAACTGTCAATTATTAACTGTCAATTACTAGTACGCAAGAAGTTTAATAAAAATGCCAAACTCATTTTCAAAATGAAACGTTGCCAAGTTATCAATAATCATTGAATATAAAACATTAAATTATCTGCATTTTTTAATAATAGAATATTAATATTATGATTTATAATTTAAAATTAGCAATCGATGTTATCTTTTAATTTTAATAAATCATAAATTAGTCTTTCTTATAAGTCTTTCTTAAGTAGTCTTTCTTATCACGTGTAAACGAGATACAGATTACTAAAGCCATCTATTGGAAAAATAATGGATTTCTTTTTACTACACCTAATATTTCGAAATCATTCTATCAACAAGTTACAAATTAACATAAAAAACTTCTGACTCCCAAGACATAGAAGGAATTCGTCTCGACATTGAATCAAAACCAATTAAAATTTATTATCACTAAAGAGTATCAAGTTAAAAACCGCATATTGATCGTAACTCGAATGAAACATGACTAATACATTTAAACAATAAGTAAGATATGTCAATAAGTAAGACATGTCAGGTCAACAAGGAAAATAAAAAGGAAAAAGAACAATGTCAATAAACAATGTATATAAACAATAATTTGTATAAACCGATAAAATGTAACTATTTAATGTCTTTCAATAATTGTATATAAGTTTGATGTACACTCTCTGTATTTGAACGTAAATTGAGACTATTTTGTTGCATGAGTATATGAAGGTACTCAGATATTAAACATTTATTAAGAAAACGCTCTTCATCTAATATCGCGACATTCTCCCAATTGAAGTTATGTACAAATTCAATCCGATGTTCTGTGATCATTGATGATGTTCTGTGATTGGTTGTTACTATTACAGTTAATACGATGCTCAATTAATCTAGTTTTAAATTTGCTTCCTGTCTGTCTAACATAAGAGGTACCGCAGGATTTATATGAGATTTTATACACAACATTTTTTTTCTTTTCTCTTGGAAGGATGTCTTTATATGTCCCTTCATCAAACTATTTAATTTATTTAAGCTAGTAAAAACTAATTTAATGTTAAAGATTTTACTAATTCTTTTGAATTCGCCTGAAATTTTTGAAATATAAGATAGTACAAACCAAGAAGTGTACAATTCTTCTTGATTTCTTCATTTGATTCTTTCTGTTGTATCATATCTTTATGAATGAGAATTTTGAAACGTGTGTTATTAAAAATTAAATCAATCGGATGATTATTTTTTAATAATGTATTGATAATATGTTCAAAATTTTTTTGGTGATATTTAGGGTCCGATAATAAAAATGCTCTATCTGTCATTCCTGTTATTATGCCTCTTTTTTGCGAGAGTGGACGCGACGATAAAAAATTAAGGTATTTTTCTGATATATGTGGGCTTATAATACCAGTCAAATTCAATCAGATTATTGTTATTAATAATAGTAATATCCAAAAAAATTTGTTTTGTTGTCGCCAAATTCTAAGGTAAATTTTAATCTATCATGTAACGAATTGAAGATTTCAAGTATAAAGTCAATTAGATTTTTTTGGAACTGCCATAACAATATCATTTATATAACGAGAATAAAACAAAGGTTGAAAATCCAAAGTCTCTAATGCTTTCAAATCCCTCATTATTTAATCGGCTACTATTGGAGAGAGAGGTGGCCCTATAGGGGTATCAAAATTTTGTTCATAAAACTGTCCATCAAAACTAAAATAAATTGAATTAAGTACCAACCAGATTCCTAACATAAATTCATCTTTCGAGATATCTTATATCCCTCACAAAATTTTACCTCTTATCAATACTATATATATATATATAAAAGACATGTTTAATTTCAAAACGTGTCTTAAGTCTTTTTATCAATTGAAAACTATTATATTGTAAATCGATTTAGGTACATTCTTTGAGATAATATGATGTATGAAAGCTGCTAATACAGAGGACTATCTATAGATGATATTATTAATCTGAATTGGTAAATTCAATTTATGTATTTTCAGTAAAACATACGTTCTCGGGAGAACCTTCGCTATAAGATAATTTTTTGTACATTAAATCATTAATAAAATTTTTCTTTTTCCATCTTAATAACAGATCTCGGATATTATTAATTAATTTATTAATCGGATCTTTCTTTCATTTTATGTAAGTTTCTTTATCCCCAAGCAATACTTTAGATTTGTAATTATTATTATGTAATGCAACTGTGATATTTCCCTTATCAGCCTTTGTTAAGATGATATTAGAATTTTGCTTTAGAAAATCTTTAGTGGCCTTCAACAATTGTGCAATCTTAGTATTAATTTCATTTTTGACGACAGAAAAAGATGGCAATTTCTTAAGAATCGGTAATGTCTTTAATCATAGCTACCTGTTCACTGTTATACTTCTTTGAATTACTTTCTATGCCTTTAATGCACTTAAACAAAATTTATTATTACTAAAGGGCAAGGAAAAATTATCCCCCAATTGTAACAAGCATTATGCTTCTTTAGGAAAAGAAATTGAAGATAAGTTAACAAACTATCCTTCTTTAATGTACGATATAACAGAAAGAATCAAGTGAAGAAATCAAGAGGGATTGTACTTCTTGGTTTGCACTATATGATATTCCAAAAATTTCAGACGAATTCAAAAGAATTAGTAAAACCTTTAACATTAAATTAGCTTTTATTTCCTTAAATAAATTAATAGTTTGATTAAGAGACACATAAAGACATCCTTCCAAGAGAAAAGAAAAAAAAATGTTGTGTATAAAATCTCATATAAATTCGATGCTTCTTAGTTAGACAGACGGGAAAGAAACTTAAAACTAGATTGGCTGAGCATCTAATCATATTAACTATAATAGTAACAACCAATCGGTGATCACAAAACATCGGATTGAACTTGACTTCGATTGGGAGAATGTCGTGATATTAGATGAAGAGCGTTTTCTTAATAAATGTTTAATATCTGAGTGCCTTCATATACTCATGCAACAAAATAGTCTTAATTTACGTTCAGATACAGAGAGTGTACATCAAACTTATATACAATTATTGAAAGACATTAAATAGTTACATTTTGTCGGTTTGTATAAATTATTGTTTATGTATTGACATCGTTCTTTTTTCTTTTTATTTTCCTTGTTGACCTGACTTACTTATTGTTTAAATGTATTAGTCATGTTTCATTCGAGCTGCGATCAACATGTGATTTTTAACTTGATTCTCTTTAGTGATAATAAATTTTAATTGGTTTTGATTCAATGTCGAGACGAATTCCTTCTATGTCTTGGAATGAGTTACCAGTTTTATGTTAATTTGTAACTTGTTGGATAGAATGATTTCGAAATATTTATAAGATAATTTAATGTTTCGATTACCAACATCAAATGTCAATCTGATGATGATTTTTTTTTGGACATGAAGGGATTGATATTTTGAAATTGTATTGCTGAGAATTCCAAAGTGAACTGAAACGTACTATTTTTTGGAATAAAGATTCTATTTTCTGGAATAAAAATTTAAGATTACGTATTAACTACTACTGATTAACTACGACTGATTCTCAGGAGCCCTGATTTCTTTTGGATTTTCTGTTGTTGAATTTGGGAGAGTTCGTAAGAAGATTACATTATTACTATCAAAATAACATTTAAGTGAATCATGATTGATCAAAAAATGACTTTTAGTAAACATTTTGAAGCCATTTTAACATTATGATGATTTTTTTTGTTTAAATATGTTTTTTTGATTTATTGCATATAATAGATTTTAGAAACATTTCTATTAAACATTTCATATGGCATATTACAGAATTGTTGCATATGAGATATGGAAGATTGAAACGTTTCTGAAAACTTTCTGCTATAATCGGTGCTGTATGGGAATTAAAAAATGTATTAAATTACTTACTAAACAATCAATTGATCAATTGATAGGATCGGGCAGAGGAATCCATAGCAACTACTGAACAGAAACGGAGAAAAGATGATGAAAGAGGTTTGTGAATATATTTCGTTGTTATTATAATAAAATATGGATTCTTCAAGGAGTATTTGTAATTATGTGTATTGAAATATATATTACTTTACATTTGTTATAGCCAAAAGTACGCATCAAAACGGTGACATTCCTGAACATAGAGAAAAGCATCATTACAGTAAGGTCAGTAATATTTAGTAATATTTTTTTTAATAATAATGTTACATTAATAGGCTTCTGAGTACTCACCTCAGCCATATTGAATCATGACGTCATAAGTGAGAAATGACAAATTAATTTTTCTTGCATGCTGTTTGTAAATAAAGACAATTTATAAATAAATGCGTATTGAATAAAAACTATAATAGTAAACACACTTTACGTGCCTTTTTCGATTATTTACTGACTGTCAGGAAAGACGATAATGATAGTCTCGGTCCATTTTTACAAGCATTTTATAGATTTCATTCCGTTTTATCCATTTTGTCTTTATTTATAAATGGTATGCAAGAAAAATCAACGTGTCGCTTATGATACATTTCTCGCTTACGACATCACAATTCAATATGGCTGGGGTGAACTATTCAGGAGCTTTAAAGAGTTTCACAGACTTCTATTATATTTTACATTAGGTTACTAACTCTGCTCTTTTAACTGCTACCAGAAATTTGCCAAAGATATAGGCATGCTTAAAACGAGTTCTATGTGAAGTCAAATCAACAAAGAGATGTATGACATCTTGAATCAACTATAGAGAGGTTCACATACAACATTTTGAATCAATTATGGAGAGGTTGGTCATCATTGATTCGAAATGCTGTTAGCATCCCTTTTCTGTGCGATCACGTGATAGTCCTATTCTGCGCATCTAATTTACTCAGGCAGCACTTTTACGCAAAAAAATGTGAGGAGTTAGCAGTCTAGTTAAATTTAGCGTAATATATAGAAGTCTGGTTATATCTGAGTGAACGTCTGAAAATATGGATGATTTTGGGAATTTTTTGCAGTTAAATAAAATAAGTGGAAATTCGATTTGAGGGTTTTTAATTTGCATATCTTAAGTTACATAAAAACAATTTTTGTTTTATTTTTTAGCATCAAGATAGCGGCATTGAAACTCTGCAAGTAAGACTGTTTTTTTTTTTCGTGAACCTCCGTAGTTTGCAACAGAAGTGCTGTACACTTTCACTAAGAACAAAAAGTAAAATTTTTTTTATAATTTACATTAAATTTGCTGGAGAAATATACATGTATATGTTAAAATATTGATTTTATATAAATGGTGAATATTTGAAAATAAATTTTCATTTTCATCAAAAAAATTCAATAAAAAAGTATAACAAAAAAGTTTTTAACCGATCGTAAAAATCGTGTGTACTTCTCTAAAGAATTTAGTTTAACAGACACTGTAAAAAGGCATAAATCATATGAAAAAGTGCTTTCGGTCGAATTGTGCTGAATTTTTGATATCTTGTAGTTCTCGTCATTCTGAACAAATGTTTCAATGGGTATAACTTGATCCTATAACTAGTTTTATAGATATAGGCAGTCAAAGTCTTCTGTCGAAAATGCGATGTGCACTACATACGCATCATTATCGATTCCTTAGAGCTTTGTTCCTAATATATATATATGAGGTAAATAGTTACAATGATAGTAATTATAATAAATATAATAATTATTATAATATATATAATAATAATTATAATAAATATAATTACAATTATAATTACAATTACGATCATAATTATAATTATATATTTGTCTAAAGTCACACTATATCAATCTGAAGATTTATAATATGATTCCGGAAGGTAAAATATTGAAGTTATATTTTCCTGCTCTCAGCATCACTGTTGATCTTGGATAACGCAGAGAGCAGAAAAACACATGGTAATCTTGATAGTATATTCACAGTAATACATTGAAAGCAAAAATTGGCTGAATATGACATAGCATTTTTAATTGATTGCAGCAGCCAATTAAAAATGCTATGTCATATTTTATCATCTAATTTGCTGCAGCAGCTAATCATTTCTTTCAGTGTACTACCTAGCACTTTATCTTTTTATTATTTTTAAACATTCAACTTATCTTAATTAATTGACTGAATTCTTATGAGAGGTTGACAAAAACTGAATAAACTGAAAAGCATTTAGTTATCGACTTCGATCACGCGCACGTACACACGCACACACACACGCAAGCATACACGGATGCACACGTGCATGCACATATGCGATCAGATAACCTGCTATGTGTACATCGATGATTCTGAATAATGCTGAGAATAATGCAGGAAAATATATATATATATTCAATATTTTACCTTCCCAACTTATACTATGAGCCTTCAAATTGATACAGTGTGATTTTAGAAAAATATATAATTATAATTATGATCGTAAATGTATAAGTATAATTGTAATTATATTTATATTATAATTATCATATAATATTTTATAATAATTATTATATTTATTGTAATTACTATAACTATTTAACTCATATATATTAGAAACAAAACTAAGGAATCGATAATGATGCGTATGTAGTGCACATCGCATTTTCGGCAGAAGACATTTTGACCGTTAATATTTCTAAAACTAGCCATAGGATCAAGTTGTGCCTAGTGAGACATTTGTTCAGAATGACAACTATAACATATAAAAAATTCAGCTCAATTCGATCGAAAGCACTTTTCAATATGATGATTTATGTGAGGTCCTTTCAAATGCATTGGATACAATTTGTTAAAAGTTATGCTGTAAGCCGTGGGAAAAGAAGCAGCCTCACTTGTAGAGCTTCAGCGCCGCCAATCTTGACATTAAAAAATAAATAAAAAATTTTGCATAGCTTAAAGATGCTTTTTCATGTTAAAACTCGGCGTTCATTTTTAGCGTCAAAACAGATTACGTGATGAAAATTGAATATCAAACGTCAAAATGTCAATTTTGACATCACATTACCTACTTTGACGCGTCGAGCGTTAGCGTCAGCATAGAAAAATATCTTTAGGGGATTTTCTTAAAAATTGGAAGATTCGTCTTAAAAATTGGTCTCCAATAATTTTTCACTCAAATAGTATCAACTTTATCAACTTTACAAAAAAACAGCAAGAGACAAAAATTACTTATTTTCTTCTCATAAAGTTCTGAGAATTTTTTCAGAATTTTTTAATACCCTATTTTTTCATGTTAATAAAAATAGTTACCAATAAGAAAATGCAATACTAAAAAGTTGATCAAAAATTCTGAAAAAATTCTTAGAGCTCTATGAGAAGAAAATAAATCATTTTTGTCTCTTGAATTTCTCTGTAAAGTTGATATTATTTGAGTAAAAAAAAAAATTGTTGACGATCAATATTCGACGATCAATTTTTAGTAATTAATATCTTGTTAATCATTGCGAAAATTGCAAACTGATAAAATACTTTTTGACTCAGTTCAGTTTGCTCTATTCACAAAAAGCATTTGGCAGAAGTATCGTCGGATATCCTGTAGATCCGAACTAAGGTTTACTACTCTATTGTATTTGCGAATTCCATATTATTTCATCGTGTAAATTACTAATTTGTGGACTATTATTGGGTCGGAGGAAAAGTTCTACGATATTTTGTTAACTTAAAATTATATACAGAATATATTCGTTGCAATTACCTCACGTGAAAGCTTAAAATTTTTCCTAAGAGTTTTTAATAAATGTTCCTACGACTTTTTGTTACCAAGTTACATGTGGATTAAATAAAATAGCATTCTGATTTTGATTGCTCATAACTTCATTAAAAATCATCGTACCATAATTAATAAAACAAATTAAAGCTGAAACTTTGATCTATCGAATGGTATCATGATAATTTTTTAAATGTAAAATATATACAAATATATACAAATTTGAGTTAAAAATATGATATTACTGTCTTTATAATGGCGCAATGGTTAAAAAAAAGTAATGTCACATTTTTAGTTCAAAAGATCAACATTTAACATGTACAAATACTTGTATTTATACATGTTAAATCTGGATCTTTTAAGGCTTTTAGCGCAAAGGACTCATAGGATCAAGTTGTGCCCATTGAGACATTTGTTCAGAATGAAGAGAATTACAACATATCCAAAAATTAGCCAAATCCGCAGAAAGACATTTTCGCATAAGATTAGTGCGGGGTCTTTTATGTATATTGTATTTTATTATGTACATTGTATTTTTTTTAATTGGCAATTATATTACTCCATAGAACAAGCTTTAAGAATCTGTTTTTTTTTTATTACTATACGATAATGTTTTTATTACTATATGATAATTTTTAATGAGTTTATGAGCAATTAATATGATAGTCAATAGATAATCAATAGATAGAATAGTCAGAATACTCTTTTTACTTAACGCGAGTAACTCAGGAACAAAAACTCGTAGGAACATTTTTAAAACACTATTTTGTAAGGAAAACTCCAAATTTTTATGATAGTCGAAAATTTTCACAAATTTTTTTGGCGATTTTTAGCGATTCTTTGGTACATGTACTAAGGTTATTACATGGTGTAATAAAGAAAAGAATTGTGCATTATGTAATAAAGAAAAGAAGTGTGCAAGAAGACGATTACCCAATGAGGATGGTGGAACAAGTGATTGGCCATATTAATAAATCAACCAATCAGAGTTTTTTCTATGATACTCAAAATGGTGATATAATTTAAATAAGAAAATGACAGTTAATAACTTCATTTTATTGAGAACTGTTATTGTGATTTTATTATTAATAATTATTAATAATAATTTAATAATAATTTTTATAAATCCCCTCTAGTTAATAATAATAATTATTAAATTATTCATACATATGAAAAAGAGTAAAGATAAATAAATAAATAAATACTTTATTAGAATTTATTAGAAAAGAACATAAATGATATTAAAAAAATTGTAAATATTAATAACATTTAATTTATATATCACTTTTTGAGATTAATCTCCTTATAATAAGCTTTCATATACTTTACAGCAATGTCACTGTCCTTTGAAAACGAAAAAAACTTTTTTTTACTTTCGCATTTTTACTGTGATTTTTTTATACTCCTTAACACTGCATACCATTATTTTTTATAAAAATATATTACTTGTGATACGTCATTCTCTCTTTGTTTTCTGTATTATCATTTTTCAATATGGAAGGCAACTTGTTC